GTTTAGTAGTTTTAATGGATTAGGATAGTGGGTGGAGATGGAGGTTTAGTTCATCCTGGATATAACACATGATCGCTTAACATCCCCCCCCCCCCCAGGCGATCGTACCACAGTGTGGTACGACTTCCTTTACTTAATAATCTTCTTTATATTTTATTGTTATTATTCTCTTTCATTTACTCTCTAAATATTTCTGCGTCACTCTTACCCTTTGTCTCCCTACGCCTCTTATTCATGTATCTATATATCTCTCTATCATATCTCCCCCCTGTCAAGTTACTTTATATATAACAATTCTTAAGTATCAAACAACAGGTTATGTTTCCTGGACGTATACTGAATAACCATAACAGACCTCCACCCCCCCTCCCCCGGCCCACCTCTTGAACACTGTATAACCATGATGTTGAGGCCATGACATCCTCTCCCTGGCCCACCTCTTGAACACTGTATAACCATGATGTTGTGGCCATGACATCCTCTCACTGGCCCACAATGACATGATATTTAAAAGTAAAATAATATCTAACCTTTTAAGAGCCTACCTTGCTCCTAACGTAGCCTAACCTAACTTAAGCTACTTGTACCCCATGTTAACCAAACTTAAATTAACCTAATCTAATAAAGTGTATGTAACTTAACTAACCTAAAATTTTACCCAAACTAAAGTTGCCTAAATTTATTTCAATCTAGTGTAATTTAACCCAATTTATTCTATCCCTAACGTAAGTACACCAACCTAATCCACACTAAAATTAACTTAAACTAACCTACCTATAACATAACCTATGCTAACTTAACCTATCAATGACCTATGCAATCCTATTCTACCAATAATGTAACCCAAGCCAAGCTAAGCTAGACCACCCCTAACTTAACCAACCCTATCCTAACCCATCTTACACCGACCTAAATATCCCCAAATTTGGCATAAAAACTAGGGCCAACTCCAGGACGGGGAATGAGTTTCAGAGGTTGCGTCAAAGCGCACATACAAAAACAAATAGATATGCCCTCTAAAAATTAAGTAAATAATAATACGAACCGAATAGAAAAACAAGAAACTTAAAGTTTGATTCTGGATATTACTTTAACATTCACCGTTTTGTCGCAATTAATATACAGGTTTGACACAATATTGAGTTACTCATAAATTTAAAAGAAAACGCAAATTAATAGAAAATGTACGAGGTACAACTAAGCTAAATAAATATGTACTAATTTTTTCTGATTATCTTGTTCGTTAGAAGCTAATACCGTGCCTGCACTTCAGCACCTCAGCTACCCTGAGAGATTGGAGCGCCTGAACTTGTCTAGCTTATATTACAGACGGGCAAGGGGTGACCTAGTTGAGGTGTATAAGCATCTCAGGGGGCACTACTCACTCGAGTGTCCTTACTTGGAGCTGGCGGACGCTCGCCCCACAAGGGGTCACAGCTCAAGATTGAAGAAGCCACAAGTCCAGAAAACTGTGAGGGCAAACTTTTTCAGAGTGAGGATTGTAAACTCTTGGAACAATCTACCAGAGAGTGTTGTGACGGCACCGAGTGTGAGCTCTTTCAAGACAAAACTTGACCAACACTGGAGCGGGTTCAGGTACATTCAGGAGCCGGTGCATGACCAGTATTTGCCAACAGTGCGTGACAGAGACGTGACCGATCGCCCGGGCGGCTAGCGAGCCGACCTTTTGGTGAAGAGGATAAATGAAAAGGAAAATTAATCAGAGACGTGACCGATCGCCCAAGCGGCTAACGAGCCGATCAGTGGCGAAGAGGATAAAAGATAAAAGTAAAAGTACTAGATGTGTCCATGTCGAGGAAGGTGGCC